GCCAACATGCTGGAAGTCCACAGAGTTTCTCCAGGACTTGTGGTCAAGCTAAAAATATCATCTTTAAATGAAGCTGGAGATGAGTCTCTGGTGTGAATCTCTACAAGGTCAGGAGTGGATCTGGCTCTAAACAAGTGTTTCTTACAGAGATGTCAAGTGTGTGGGGCGCTGCTAATATTAAACGAACTAACATTAAGACTCATTCTAATCAAACAGCCTCTAAAATGTTCAGAATGTTCCGTTTTCAAAAGATCTTTTTTTCCATTTTTGTTCTGGGAGCGAGCGTCTATTCACGGGCTTCTCGCCATTATGAGCGAACCTGAGAGTTTTTATTCATCGCCTCTCGCTGCAGAATCGCTTTGTTTACGCCTTCACAGGGAGCGAGTCGAGAAAAGATGACTTTTTTTATTTTTTTGCGGCAGCGGCGGGTTTGAATTGAGGCCTCGCAGAAAGAGCCGAAGGTAGGAAGGTAGCCGAAGGAGGTCAGGAGGAGACAAAGGAAGACGGCTGTAGACGGAGATTGTCGTCGGAAAATAGTCGGTTTTAAGTCGTCTGCGAGTCGGAGAGGAAAGAAAGGGAGAAAAAATCCATCTGTGCATGTGTCACCTTGTAGCTCGAGTGCTTTTTCACCTGGTTTCCATCGTCTGGGACGTCTTACAATGAATGAGAGCATCTAATAACAGCTGGAATAGCTCCGAACGCAGCTCATCCTTACAAACAGGATTCATCCACACACACAGATGAACACCTGAAACTCTACAGGTAGATGCCACCGCTAGTTTTTAGTATTTTATGTTTTCATGTTGATGACGGAGACTCATTGTTGCACCTTTTTCTTTTCTTTTTTATTCCTGCAATCCTGAAAACAGAGAAGTGAAAGTTTAAAATGAACTGGAAGCCAGAGTGGAAACACACAGCTCGGTTTGATTCACGTCCTGATGATGCACGTTGCATCATCTGGAGAAAGAAAACCAAGAAGGACAAACGAGCGTACTGCTTTATAATCATCATCGACAGACTATAATTAAGCTTTTGTTTTTCTTTTTTTTTTAGAAAGAAATCTTGCCTTCTTTTGTGTTACACTGTTAAAATGAATAAAATTAAAATGATAATTATTACTCTAATAATACGAACAATTTATAGTAATAGTGAATAATAAAAAGCAATAAATAAATTTGAAAAAAAAAAAAAAATTCCAGTAGCTGTGGTGCTGAAAATATGTATTACTCATGTTTATGAAAGATTCTGTAATTATAAAATATATTATCTGCAAAAAAAATACATAAAACTGCATGCATTTATAAAGCTAAGACTTTTTCTGTTAGTTGTTACTAATTGCATCTAATTTGGAAATACATTTTTTTATTCATTTATTTTAAATATATGCATGTATTTTCCTTTAATTTAAAAAAAAGAACAATATCTGTGAAATTACACTAAATTTGCATATTTAATTTAATAATGTTTTATGTTAAAAGATTCAATTTAGTTAAAAAAAATATATAAGTATTAAAATTACAGGTTTTAATGTTTTACATGAGAAATCCCATCGTCTATTTTTTTTTTCAATTTTTCTAATATTTCTGTGCTTTTAAAAAAAAATACAAAAAAATTAATTTAATTTAAAAAATACAAGAAAAAATATCTGTAATATTATTTTTTTTTCAGATTTTCTACAATTTACTAAATTCAAAATGTTTTCCATTTTTTTCCCCCACATTTCCTCCTTCTGGTCGTTGACCCTCACCTGGACTGAAGGACTCTGCATGAAGAACCTTAATGGTGCTGATTAGCGTCACATTAAACGTGCCGCCTCCTCGTTCATGTAAAGCCACAGACCGTGCTCTAAACTCGGCTCCGTGTTTGTTTTAGTGAAACCTTGATCAACCACGGCAGCCTTCCTGGTGGATTAAATATTATAAAGTCCTCCTGTTGGACCCGTGGCGCCGACTGGACGTCCTCGCTGCCGTCTCATCGTCTCATTGGTATTTGAAACGACAGAAGGCCACCGGTGACCCCGTCTGAGTGCCCGGCTTTATGCCACTCCACAGAACAGCAGAACCGTTCAAGTCCAAACACTCTGGAGCCGCCGCCTCACAGCAATCACCCAAAACAAGCTCGTAATTATAAAAGCAGTTTCCTTCAAGTGCGCCGCTCTGCTTTTTGTTTTTTATTCGCAATTAGAGATTGTTTGGAAACAACAACAGCAGCACCTTGAGTTTTTCTTCTTCTCTGACGGATAAGGAGGTGGACGAGGAGGTGTGTGTTTCACCTGCTGTGGTACTTGGGTGGCCGGCGGCCAGGACGGGAGGCGACGGAGCTCCTCGGCTGGAGCAGCTATTGTGGCTCTCTTTAGATAACCAGAGCTTCTCCCAGCGGGCTCCGAGATGGAAGCAGAGCCACAGATAAATATGTAACAGCTAATTCTGACATCATGTCAAGCTGCTCACTTATACAAGCTGACCGGTGAGCCGCCTTGTTTCTACCCCCCCTGCCCCTGCTCTCTGCCTCCCCAGAGACCCAAATCAATTACCACCGAGGCCCCGGTGCCAGCCGCCGCGGGGACGTGGGAGCGTTTGGGCTAATTTTGGCTCCAAGGGGCCACGTCTGGTCAATAATCTGCCTTGTGCAGGCGGCGACCAGATCAGTGTTTCACCCGCTATGGAGGCGCATAAACGCCACGCAGGGCTTTGTTCCGCTTTGACTTCCAACAAACCGACGATCAATCAAGCGCCCGTCCACGTCCGTCGCCCTTCTCCTGCCAAGGAATCGGTCGTAACGCCTCGAGGTTGTGCAGATGTTGAAGGTTTCGACACAGGAGGAGGAGAACCGGTCGCGACAGATCACCTGAAAATGACCCGTCATCGCCGTGAACGCATTGTCAACATACGGAAGGCGATAACGTTCTAACAGGTTTCAAAGAAGACGCCTCGAAGCGACACCTTTCCGCCCCCTCCTTCCACCCCGACGCAAACCAGGCTGATCACCTCGTCAGATCTGTTGGAGCTAATGAGACGCACATGCCAGGCGCTGATGGAGGCTGATCGCCGTTAATGTGTGCGAGTGTTTTGTTTCTTTTTCCTTCCGTGAAGCGAAGTTGTCAAGAGGAGGTCGAAAGCTTCGCTCAAGGGCGTCTAGCTGATAGCGAAAATAGCAACTGAGCTGCCGGCTTCCTGCCTCCTCTCTCACCTTCAGGGGTCACCTTCTGCCGTTACGCCAACATCTTTTCTCTCTTCGTCCGACTTCTCTGGAACCAAACACCGGACCCGCACCGGCTTCCGCCTCCCGCTCGTCTCCCGGGCGGATCCTAATCAGGCCCGCCACTTTGTCTCTGCTCGTCCACGCGAAGACAGACGACGGCGCATAATCTGAGGAGCGAGAGCGGAATTCACGTCCTACATATGTCCCCGTTCCTTTACAGGCTCATTAGCTATGTAAATCCCAGATTACGACATAATCGTATGGTTCCAGGCCCGTCTGTCGCCTCGACTAGTTCCAGCGACGAGGCCGGATGGTCCTCGGCTCAGCAGACCGAAGCGAGCGGCGGCGGCGGCGGCGGCACCGAGGTACCGACGGGTTAAAGCTGGCGTGGAAATAAACACGATTCAGGAGGCGGCGCGTGAATCCAGACAAAGCTGCCAGCGTGGATTATTTTAAAGGAAGCCTTTAACTGGTCGACACCAAACATGTCCGATGACCGGAGCAAAAACAGGGATTCTGCTTCGAACATGTGTGGATGGAAGTGTAGAGTGGGTGAGCTGGTGTGCTCGAGCTGCAGCGAGATAAAAGCAGGGATTTCACTGCACATTCTAGTGGAAGCAGTTGCTTCTGTCGCCATTTTAAGGCAGGAAGGGGTTATTTTCAAGCTAAATATGTAACTTGAGATGAACAGGGATGAGTTTTTCGTGGGTTTTCCAGCTGATCAGCTTTAAAAAATTACTATTTCTTATTAAAACTCAAGCCTTAGACGGATTTATGCTGTTCTAGCTTCTCGAAAGGAACCCATGTTCCACATGTCAAGAACTGAAAAGTCAATATTCTCCTAATTTTTCAAATGTGCTCCAAGTGGACCCAGAAAGGGCTTCGAGATCCTAAAGTTTCTGTACAGTACATTTTGGGGCAGAACACATCGAGTCACGCCCAACATGAAGGTTACCATTTGGAGAAATGGGAGCCGCCAATAAAACGTTGGGTTCAATATTGACTGACTGATTAGTTTTTAGGGTTTTTAACCAATAACCAGACAGGGACCTGCCTAAATGTGTACAATTCGCAATAAAAGTGGCTGATTAATGTTGTGTAGGTCAGTTATTCTGAACCATCGAGCTTTGGTTCCATTGATCTGCATCAGCGCCATCAGATTGGGATCTTTGGAGGCTGGAGGCTCTTGGTCATGTTCCTCTAGCTGTTCCTTCCCAATTTTTTAACTGTGGTGACATTTGATTGAGCTGAAGCAGCCATTGTATGCTAACAGGACGATCAGTGTCACCTGGTTTTAATGTTATGGCTCTTCCTACTTCCTGTTTAACCTTCTCAGGTGTTTTATCTCTCTGTGCTCAGCGCCTATCAAGACTCTGAGCTGTTTAACATGGCTGGGATTACCCCTGGCTGGGTAACGGTTTGCTTCACGAGGGCTGGTACGTTGGGGGACTGTTAGCCGACCGTTTGTTATCAGGCTGAAACGTGAGCGACTCGCTGCTTCGGGCCGAGAATCTTAAGCACTCGCGGGTAATCCGGTTTAATCAAGTCATCTGGAGACCTGAAGGTTGAAGGTTCAGTTTGTTCGACCGATTTGTTGAACACAGAAAGCTATTTAAAGACGTCTGAATGTAGGTCTGAGTGGGAGTAAACAGCGACCAGCATTAACTGAATCACGACTGGTAGAAAACGATCAGTCTAATTTCTTCTCTCTCTCTCTCTGCCTGCCTCTAGCTATCGGCGAGCCGGTGAGGCTGGAGTGGTACAACCCCCAGGGCGAGCGCATCGTGCCGTCCAAGCGGATGGCGCTGCACACGGAGACGTCGCGGTCCAGGCTCATCATCTACAACGCCATCATCGAGGACGCGGGCATCTACCGCTGCCAGGCCACCGACGCCGGCGGCCACACCGAGGAGGCCTCGGTGGTGCTGGAGATCTACCGTAAGCGCACCACGCACTCACCTGCAGATGCTCCGCGCTCGCCTCCCGGGGAGATTCAGACGTGGAGACATGAAGAGAATAAACCTCCTGCATAAGCGTTTGATCACAGGGATGGCCGGCTGATTCATATTCAAGCCCTCGCCGCAGCCACAAGCTGTTCGAAATGTTAGCTCTGTCTGTGTGCACATGCATCTCGGCTCCGTGTGTGCCTTTGACTTTGTGTGTGTGCGCGTTACACTGCTTCGTGTGATTAAAGTATAATGACAGCTCGTACCGCCGTGGGACCGGGCTCCTGCCAGGCATAATGAGGGATGTGGCACTGAGGCTAACCCGCCTTGCTGACCCATCACTATTTCCTGGGCCAAACTTAATGTTACCAGGCGGCGGTTGGGGGGGATGGAGGCTCGGTGCTCGCAGGGGCCGTCCCATCGCAGATCCATCCTGGCGGCGAGCGGTGAATTAACCAGCGTTTTCCCATTTAGAGCGTCCTTGAGCGAGACGTCCGGCTTCACCTCTGCCAGCTCGTTGCTCTGATGGAATAAAAGAAAAATCGAGAAAAGCCAGAATACTAGCTTCACAGCTTAAAACATAACGATCACAAAGTGTTTAAGTGCCGATAAAAGGTATTTTTCCCCCTTTAATCGCTTTTTTATAGTCATAGTCAATAAAATTTGGCTTTTCTGACAATAGTTTTGAGGAAAACGTTCATTTATGTCGAAATTAAAACAGATTTCTGTGAATTAATGTCAAATAATTCAAGTGACTGCCCTCTTCGGGACTTAGTAGATGCACCTTTGGACCTGAGTGGATCAATCAGCGTTGCACATCTGGATACTGCAGTTTTACTCCGTTCTTCAGGCTACACCGGGATTTCGAGTAAGTTCCCAGTTGGATTGAGGCACCTTGTCGTCCTCGAACCATCTCCGGACTGTTACCTTCGGCGGGAAATCTCCCTTCTGCTGAGAAGCAGCCTGACGTCATGATGCTGCCGCCGCCGTGCTTCACTGTGGCTGCATCTGTGACGCGTCAGGGCCAAAGAAGCTCCTTCAGAGTCTCCCACATGCCTTCTGGCAAAGCAGAGATGCAGTTTGAGCTACAGTGGCTTTTCTCTTCGCCACACATCCCAGAAGAACAGACAACAATCCTCCTTCAGAAGAGTCATAGGTGTCTTCGTAGCCGCCCACGCTAGCTTCTTTCTTTCTCCGGTTTCTTAAAGACTCTCGGCAGATCTACACATGTGCCGCATTCCTTCTGTTCCTTAAAGACGGGTTTAACTGCACTCCAAGGCTCCAAACGCGTCTCGCATCCGTCCTCTGACTTATTCTTTTTAATAAGCTTCTCGCTGAGTGTTCTTTTGTCTTCGTGATATGAAGGAGCGCTGATTCACCGGTGGCTAGACCTTCCACGTACCGCCGTCTTTATGCCGCAGTCACTTATCTGTTTCCAGCCAAAGCGCAGAAGGAAACGTACGGAGCAGCAAAAGGCTAAATACGCGTGATTAAAGCAGAAAAAGTCCCAATGATTCGAGACAAGTCGCGGCTTTTCCGTTACGTTCATTAGTCGACTTCTAAAAATCCTAAATAAAAAACTTCAAACGCCTTCTGTTCACAGGTAGCGCTGTGACAGGAAATGGATTAAAATGCCAACAAAACAAAAAAAAACAACCAAAGATTACATAAGAACCAAGTGAACTCTGAGATGGGAATAACCCAGATACCCACATACGCCGGGGCTTTGATCAGGAGCCCGCGCCGCCTTTTAATTGGTGGAAGGTGCAGGAATGTTGATTTTCAGGACTCGCGCGCCTCACCTGCTGCGTCGCCGCCGTTTCATCCTCTCCCGGCGAACCATTAGGGGAGACATCACAGCCTCAATCACACCTGCCACCGCTCAGCCTTCGCCTCGTTCGGCACATAACTAGCTCCCTGAAAGACCCATTGTTTCCATAGCAACTGGGCGTCGCTCGCTCGGGCCGGCTCGCCTGAGCGGCATGCGGGATGAAGAAACGCTCTGCACAGGGCTCCAACGTGTCGGACATGAAATCTGTGACCTGGAGTGTCGACGGCAGCCGCTGACGTCTCCACGACGTCGAGCTGCATGTGATCAGCTTTATATCCAGAGCTGGAGCTGCTGATGGATTAAAGGGAAACACAGCAGCAGCAGCAGTTAGCTCCAGCAGTGGTGCATTTGGTCAGTTTAACCCTCAGGGGATGCTTTAATTTACTACAAGACTGTCCTCTAATATCCTCAAAGGGAGTAAATTAAGAATCCGCCACGACAAAATAAAAACAATGCATCAAAATCAAAACAGTGACATCGTGTTATCAAAATGGCTTTTAAAGGGTTAAAATTATAGAAATAATTGAATGTTTGGTGTGTTTGATTAGAGCAGAAGTTGATTGAAAGCTCTGAGCAAAAAAAAAAGTGGAACAAAACTGTTTTTAGAGCAGTTTAATATCCCCACAGGGTAGTACATTTACCCCCGGTGTGTCGTCACCCTGGGAAAAAATAAATAAATTTGAATTTTAAGAGTTTTCATGAAAAAAAAAACTTTCCTACAAAAAAATTCATTTCATCCGGAGTAACACAGCACAAGTTATCGCCCAAAACTATCCCCTGAAGGTTAAGTCTTGCCACCAGGGCTTGCAAATGAATTACTGCAGCGATATTAATGATCTCGTTAAGTATAAGTCGCATCAATCTGTCTGTTCGTTACTTGTGCTCTTATCTACCGTCGTCCCATTAAAGATGGAAAAACAAACAGCTGTCACTCCAAAAATAAGTTGAAATTGACAAAAGTAATAATAAATAAAAATTTAATGAAAATCATGACGTTGCTTTTGAATTGTGGTTCAACAGAAATATATTAAAATAATTTTTTTTTAAAACAAAAAAACAAGCCCGTAAACTAATATTTTGTTTTGTCGAGGTAATCGCTGCAATCAAGTGTTTTCTGTCACTCTAATTTGACTTTTTATATTTTTTTAAATTATTCTTTTCAACCACAATTCAATAACAACATCTTATTTCACTCAATTATAGTTTTTAAATTTTTTATTTATTATTACTTTTTCCAGTTTGTACTTATTTGAGTGACTAGTGTGGATTTTGTCTTCTCTTTAATAGAAGGGTCTGAATACATCTGAGGACGACTGTAGTTGTCGTCGCTGTTCTTTTCTTCCTTTATTTCACCCTCAACCTAACCGAGGGTCTGATGGAGGTTTATGCTCATCAACAGGGAGGTTCTTCCTCTCTGAATTCAATAACTAGTGTCGCCAATTAGCTTTCCACCTGCCACAGGTTGGTGTTCAGGGCATAAGCTGCAAAACTAGCTGCATGTGTGACCCCTGATGTTAGTTTATGCAATTAAAGAACAAAATGCACAGATTTATTTTTATTATTATCCACTTTTAGAGCCTCAACATGAGTATGGGGGTGTTTTTGTAGCGAAACTGTTTGTAAATGTGTCTGGAGAGCTGTGTGGGGAGATTTGTTGAAGATGTCAACAGATGAAAAGTGTTTGGCTACAAGTGCTGGAAATGCAGACACATCACCGGCTACAAGTCAAGCAGGCCTCACTGTTGTCGTTTTTTTTTTACACGTGACTTTTGCTTCACTTCTGCCTTGACAGATTTGTAACTTGAGGGTTTCTTTGCCCTGAGCTCAGGCTCACAGGCTGTGGACCACTCTGCCTTTCTTCAGGAGTTTTGCCGCCTGCAAGTCATCGCGGACGTTTTTGCTCAGCGACCCACAAACTCAGCAAACTTGTTGACGAATCTCACTACAGACTCACAAACAGTTCTGCTACAGTAACGGCCCCATACATGAGTTAAAATGATGAGTTGGGAGTTCACTCAACTCAATAAATTAAGTTTGTACGGCTCATAATTAGCATTATTAGTTAGCAGACTTACATCACCAGAGACTGTTGGGATTTTTTGTACTTTAAGGAGACAAACTCGTTGTGTATCTCTGTTAGATTAACTTATGGCTGCTGTTTTTTTTTAACCGTGATTAAATCCATACACGTGTAATTCATCTCACTCTAGCTGGTCGCAGCGTCCCACAGTCGATCTGTATCCATTATGTGTGCGACTAGTTGGTCCAACTTAATATTCTAAGTTTGTCGAACTTGTTTTTTTGACGTTCAGCCACTTTAAATGAACTAATTTTACACTTTCACAGCTCGTAAAATAACTCTGAGCTGATTAATCTGAAGCGCTGCTGAGGGGAGAATCTGTTTCTGAGTGAATTTAAAATGATCCGACCCTTAACGATCCTAAACCTGCTATCCGACAGGTTTATAGGTAAAACCAACAGAACCCATAAAAACAGCCTTAACATAGTGACAGCCTTGGATTCTGACTCCGACATGACGTTTAATGTCACCAATCAGGATAACCACGAGTGGAACAAAAGACCGGGCCCTTTAAACCCAAATAATAAAGCTCATGACGACATCATTTTACAACATACACAAGCTTCAGCACCACGGAGAGCGGCCATGTCATTCTGAAGTCCATCAAACAGACATGAAGTATAACCAAGAGAACAACAACAACATGAGGCTACATGGTCACTGATGATAAAACAACACAAACTCAGAGCAGTTCAGCACCACGGATAGCGGTTATTCTAGAAGCTAAGCGGCTGGGCTGCTACAATTTACAACCACCAACAGTTTACAACTAACTCAGCTCCCTCGCTGTGCTGGAACTCAAGCAGTCGCTACGACTAAACTACAAGAATAACCACGACCTGGAGGACTGAGGATCTTCACAGACATTTAACAACTATGAACAATAAACATTAACAACACTTGACCCTTCCAGCATCCTGCCCTCCTCGTATCTCGACCTCCGTCTTGACAATCCGACATAAAAGAAGGTTTAGTGTCGGATTTTCGAGTCACAACTGTCCGATCAACATCGTCACTGTGAGCATGTAGCATGCTAGCGTTGGCATTTAACTCGACCACCGCTGTGACTGAGCATCACAGAGCTGCCAACTGTTCAGGGTTAAACCTCTTGCTGCCGCACACAAAAGAATCTAAATAGTTTCCCCCCCGTCAGTGGAGCTGGTGGCAAAAGCCAACAGTCGCCTCCAAATGAACTGTGCAGCCAGACCAGGTGATTCATATTCCAGCTCCTTTCATTTCCTCCCAGTTTATTAACACATGAAGCAGTAATCACAGATAAGCCCGTTTCCCCCCAAAAAAACCAGCAGAAACTGGCGTCCCAGTCGAGACGGGTCCGGGGAAATTGGCTCGTCAACGTTATCTTCGCGGCGGTGGCGGACGAACTCCTGAGCGTCTCCTCGATCCGCCGGTGTCAAGTGTGCAGCCGAGTGTTGGTCTGCGGCGGATGTTTCCCTCAGCGCTCCTGTTGTCGAGCAGCGTGACGACAAAAGAGACAGGAAATGGATCCGAACCGAGGGAACAAGTGACACTAGAAACCCGAGCGAGAGAGACGGAGGGAGTGAAAGCAGACTTTGGGAATAAAAAAAAAAGAACACAAACGTAGGAGGAGGAGGAGGAGGAGGGGTGATAAGAAACCATCAGAGTGAGTGACAAAAACAGGCAAAAGGCATCCTCGGAGCTAATGAAGACACTGGGATGCCAGACACGTAGGGTGCAGCCGGGGAGTGAAAGCTCATTTTAGGGAGCAGCCTGGCATAAATCACAATGCTAATGCCGCAGCCTCGCTAACGGGGAGCGGCGCCGCTACGAGAGGCGCCGCTGATTTATTCGCACCTTCGCGACGCAGGTGACGGCAGGTGGTCGCATCAAAGCCGGCGAGATCGGGGGTTCGAGGCAGTGGGGTCCAGGAGCCTCATGAAAAGGGCTTTTGTCGGAACACCAAACGCTTGTCGAGGAGGGAGGTTATTGAAACGTTCCTCAAACCAGGAAATCAAAGGCCGCCGGTGTTTTCCTGCAAACAGAACGGCGGCAGAATGACTCATTGATTGTTGTAGAGGGAGGTTTAGGGTTATGATTGGCAGGAAGTAAAACAGACGCTCTTCTGTCTCATCTGCCAAAACAGGAAACACATTCAACTTGAGTTTGATTAGATTCTGGGAGTTAAACCCGTTTCCAGTGACCGCGCTGGTTCTGGTGTTTCCAGATACGTCGGATGGGAGCTGATTGTGTCGTGTCACGTGGCAGCTCTGTTTAATAATGGAGGATGGTTGCAGTGGTGGTTGGTTGGTTGGTTGGTGCTGCTCGTAAATATCTCAAAACTTGTCCTCATGAGGAGCTGATGAATTGATTAATGTGTAACAGTTTTCACTGCCTGGTGAACCTTGGTAACGTCGTGCCTTCAAAGTGATTTCCAGCAGAACAAAGACGACTTATAATTAATTTTAATACGACAATTAAGACCTCACAACATTACATATAGTGCAGATCTCAGGTTGGGCTCCACAACATTATATGTCGTAGAAATCTACGTGACTAGTTTAAAAATTAAGGTTAAGACTGCACAGTGTTATATATAATATGAATTTACATGACCAAATTAAAAAAAAAAAAAAGATGGTTCAGCTGACACAAGCATATGCAATGCTGATTTAGCTGACTCATTGAAATAATAAAGGTTAAGACTTTATTTAGCAAAGTTTTTTGTTTTTTTTAAAAAAAAGGTTGAAACAAATTTTTTTTTTAAATTTTAAATAATATTTTTAACCTCTTAAAACCCGAGCTCTTGTTTGATATGGATTTTTTTTATTATAAAACAAGACAATAAATCAGTTTTTTTTAAAAGTAAAGTAAATAAAAATACATGTAAAATATATTTCAAAAATATTTTCAAAATATTTAAAAACAAAAATAATTAAAAACAACAACAATAAACAACAAACTACTGTAAATGTGATGTGGTCTTCAGAAGTTAAAGGCTGACAATATTACTAATTGTAAAAAAAATAATAATTTACATGACTCATTTTGTCGAGTAAGGACTCAACAATATTGTATATTACACAACGAATTAGAAAATTAAGGTTAGGACCAATCAAGGTTGACGAATTCAGAAAAAAAAAAAAAAAATGGCTCAGACCTTAAAATATCATATGTATATACACATTTACCTGACTCATTAAAAAAAATAAAAAATTGAAAGAAAGAAATTAAAATTAAAACCTGACAAAATTGTATAAAATACACAATTATCTGATGAAAATTATTAGTAATCCGATATTACTATTTATGGAAATGTCATGTCTACTGATTACTGTTTAGAATAAAAAATTTAAATTAGGATTGGACAAAATTCTGCTCCAACAAATCCAAACTCAATCTAATTCAAATAACTTTATTTGTCTATTAGGGGTAATACAAAAACTCACTGAGTATTTAATATAAAGACATCAAAGAAGAAGAATATAAAATTAAAAAACCAAAAATAATCCAAAGGTTCCCTCAGAGCAGGCAAACTGGTGACATGGACCTCCAGCAGAACTGGGCTCAGGGCGGGTTGACATCCGCCTCGACTGGTTAGGGTGAAATAAAGGAAGAAGAAATGGACCGACTGATGCGAATCATACTTGATGGGAAAATATTTCACATTTACATCATATCGTCACAATAACTCATTTACTAACCTGGTAGCATGACGACAGAAGTTGGCTCCACACTCTGACAATAAAGTTAATAAAGACAAAATAATAAAAATCAAACATTAAGACTGTGTTCGGGTGATTCACCAGCAACCAGGTGCAACCAAACTACACAATCCAGTCATTTAGTTCGTCCACAGGTGATAAAATAACTCAGTTTAATGTGTTTTGCATGACAGCAGCGTCTCCAACATCCCAATCAAACCACAGACAAGTGAAGATGAAGCGCTTCTCCTCCAGGAAGGAAACTGGAAGCTGAATTTTAAAGCAACTTCCTCCACCTTAAGTTCTGTGTCAAAACAGTCGTACTTAACGGGAGAGTAAGAAGCGCAGCGGTTCCTTCTTATTTTCCGTTTGATGTTCAGACCTGCAGTAAATTGTCTGCTCTGAATGCTCTGAGAGGAAAAAAAAAGCTGCTCAATCTCCATCTTGTTTGATCTCGCAGAGCGGCTGACGTTCCGCGATGTTCAGTCACCGCAGGAGTTCCGCCACGGTGAGACGGCGGAGGTGGTGTGTGATGTCATTAGCTCGCCGGTGCCGGTGGTGGTGTGGTACTACCAGGACCGGGAGATCACCGAGGAGCACAACAGTAAGTTCCCACCGCCTGCTTTCACACGTGGCCTCATGTATCCAGGTCTTTTCTGGGTTTTTGTCCTTTTGTTTTGGGGGGGAGCTTAATCATATCAAATCCAGCTTTCATCCTTCTGCTCCATAATTTGCATATTTGCATAATTACACTTTTTTAGTTACTGGAAACCACATGACCCTAAATGGAAGAAAAAAATGAAGTTAAAAGATCACATAAAGTGGTTTTTATCAAATAATAACCTTTTTTATTATCATGCAATCCAGAAAAAAGCTAAATTAAAGCGACCTTAACAAGTTTTTGGCCACTAGTAGTGCTGAAGAGTCGTCGTTGTTACACCTTGACGTCTGATGTACATAAATAACACAGAACACCAGCCGTGTTTCCAGAATTTATGATTAAATTCACACATTTTGCATTAGAAACCATTCATGGAAATGCTAAAATAAATTAAATAAACTCCCATTAATTTAGAATCTGCAATATTAGACAAGTAAATCAAACAGTCTCTGATCACGATTGAGCTGGAAGATAAAAAAATTGAATTAAAAATGGAAGCTGTCTTAAAAAAATCTATTTTTATGCTTGTTTGAGATGGTTTGTGCCTTATTTTGAAAGGTTATTGCACTTCCTGGGAGATGGAAACATGTTTTTTAATTGAGGTTTGTGGGGAAAAAAATGTTTATTTTCGCATTTCTTGATATTAAAGTTGCTTTAGGACTATTTTTTAATTCCTACGATATTTTAAAAGTCTTGTTTGTAGCGAGAAAGATAACTTTCGCCCAACTCTGCAGTTCAACGTAGCTTTTTTTTTTTTTTTTTTTTTAAGCATCTCTTCGCTCGTTGTTGTTGTTTTTGCAGCTTCAAAGTTTTTGTTTACCTTCATGTTACTGCTTTAAATTTTTTTTTTAAAATCCACTTTGCAAAGTTCGTCACCAGCTGGTGAACATCGTGTAGCATTTAGCGGCTAAAACGGCATGTGGTTTTCATGCTAATGTTGCGGTTTGCTAGCACGTTAGCCAACTTTAAACGGCGATAACAGTGTCTGTGTGTATTTAATGCACTATTTGGTGTATTTTATTGGGAAACGTTAATAAAAATGCTTAAAAAAGAGTTATAAAGTCACTAACAAGTTTTGTTTTTAGACCTAATCAGCTGTTTCAAATTCTAGAGTGTCTCTAAAACATGGACCATGTGAGCTAACGTGAAAGAATTATTTAAAACTCGCTTGGTTCGTTGAAATTCCTGAAGATTTCTCCCCATGTTTCTGGCCAAAGTTTCTTCTTCTTTGATTTTGTTTCCAGTGCATGCTTTCTTCTTCTACTCCGTTTATTCCAGCCACGTGTAGCGTAGCCTGTAGGGCGCCACCTCCTGACGACTCTGTGCACAAACAGTTACTGGAAAGAGGCTCCATTTCCATTTCCTCGTTGTCCTTTTTGCAACATTTCAAAACTTCTAATTCGCTTCACGACTGCCAGACATTTTCACGCCAAGGAAACGCGGCGGCGCGCCAGAAAAGGAGGAAGAAGAAGAACAATGCGGATTCTTCCAAGAAGGCTTTTGTGGAAACATCAGATTTGTCTGCTGGATCTCGTCAATCCTCTCCGGCGCGGTCGTGACGAAGCAGATTCGGCGAGCGGTTTAAAATCCACGACGAACAATACTGGCGTGTGAAATCATAGAAAGAAAAAAAAACTTCTCAGGTGCCTCAAATTGTGGCTTTTTGCACGGGAAGTATCAATTAGAGGATGAAGCGGTATCGCCAACAGCGCGGCAGATGTTGATTATTCCAGCGAATGAATAGAAGTTGCGAGCGAGCAGCGATCTCAGAAGGATTTCTGGATGCAAACATGCCAAATGTACTTGATTATTGAGAGGAGAAAAATGCTGGAGAGTCCCTCAGCTCTGGCTCCCTCCCGCTGAAAAGGCCGCTAACGTGCCAGAAATACTGTTCTCTAGGAAATGCTGTTTCCTTCCTTTGTGCGGATTCACAATAAGACAAGGATATAAAACCCTATGAATAGAAACCCCATCAGCCCCGGAGGAGGCGTCGAGCTCGGACTCGTGTTAACAAGGACGGATTACGGAGCGGTTTTGGACGTCGGGAAAAATCTTTAGAGAAAACGCGGCTAATTCGCTCCGCAAATAACTCGCATTGTCGATTATTTTATCCGTCCCATTCGGAGGGAAAAGCTGATGGTTTCTCGAGCTCTTTGCAGCGTTCTGCTTTAACGCTGTCGAGCGTCAGGAGGGTGGTCGACTTTAATCGCACAGAAAAGACAGACAGACTTGATAGAAGGCAGTCTGTAGAACCACCAGGATGAATCTTCTTCCTCCCGATTAGAACGAGTGACCCCTTTGAATCTGTCGCCTTTTTTTTTTGGTTTCTTTAATTGAAATTCAAATCTTGGATGAAACATGGAGGAGAAGTTTTCCGTCTTTAATCGTTTCGCTCTAATTACGACGCGCCGTTATAAATATCTCCGCTCGGGTAGATAGCGGCCTCGACAGGCCCATCTCGCGGCAGGAGGACTGCGCGGGAACTGTAATTGCGCGAGTGTTTATCTGTGTGGACTTTATCAGGTAAATGTGCCGGAGAGGAGATTGACAGTCGGGCTATTGAAGACTGGAGATGGCAATTTTCTCCCGCTGTTTTCCTAACTTCCTTATCTCGCTCCTCTCTCTATCATACACTGTTGTTCTTTTGTCATCTCCCTTCCTCCTCCTCCTCCTCCTCCTCCTCCCCTCTCCGTCCGTCCTGACTTTCCATCCGTCCTCCTCTTCACCTGTGCTGTGAAGGCAAGTTCCAGTTGTTGCCCAACAACAACCTGCAGATCCACCAGGTGACCAAGGCCGACGAGGGCGTGTACCGCTGCGAGGCCAGCGTCGAGGCCCGCGGGGAGATCGACTTCGTGGACATCGCCGTGGTCGTCAACGGTGAGTGCAGCCGCCCGGTGCAACACTGCTGGAGCGTTCTAGGAAGTCAAGGGGGAATCTTTAGTTGGAGTTTGGATTGCAGGTGGTCTAGATGTGATTGAAGCAGGACATCGGAAGGTGTTGCTGGTTGTTCAATTCCGGACTATTGAGCGCACCTGAGTATAAGCCTCACCCATCCATCCATCATCTCTACACCTTAATCCTCACTAGGGTCATGGGGGGCTGGAGTCTATCCCAGCTGACTCAGGGTGAAGGCAGGTTCACCTGGACAGGTAACCAGTCTATCACAGGGCTACACTTAGAGACAGACAACCAAGCACACTCACATTACAGACAATCTAGAATCACCAATTAACCTCAGCATGTTTTTGGACCTTGTGGGAGGAAGATTGAGAACATGCAAACTCCATGTAGAAAGATCCCAGGCGTCTGAACCAGGACATAAACCGGGGATCTTCTAGCTGCGAGATGACGGCGCAAACTACAGAGCCACCTGGCAGCCCCAGCTAGAGTTACTTCTATTTTAAAAAAATACGATTGTTGGGCCGCCGCTACAGCTCAACTGGTTGAGCTGGCGACCCATGTATGGGGGCTTTAGTCTCCGATGCAGCGGTCATGGGTTCGAATCCAGCCCATGGCCATTTGCTGCATCCTTCTCCCCACTTTACTGTCTCACTCTCTGCTGTCCTGCCAAATAAAGGCAAAAAACCCCCCAAAAAAGTTAAGCAAACAGATGAGAAGTCGCTTCCTGCTCTCCACCATGAAGCCTCTCTTGTGTCCTCGTTGACATACACAAACTACTTCCTCCTGATTTTTCCGCTAAAGCGGACAAAGCTTGCGAGGTTGCACCACTGACAGCGAGGACAGCATGCACGCTGGCATCTTACATGTCAACAGCATCCTCATTTTACGCACGATCTCCGCCGGCGATGATCCAGAATGAAGCAGAGACGTTCGGCAGAAGTCACATCGTCTTCACCGTCAAACTGCACCGCTCGTGTTTCCGGCGGAGCTCATGTCTTATTAAGAGGACTCCAGCTCCCCTTTGGCTCGCTTGTAATTCGTACCTTTTGCTGGGAGGCCTTTACATGACCTTCCACAGGGTGAGAATTTACACGACGAGCGGCTGAAAGTCTTTTTTTTTTTTTCCGGTTGGAAACAATCCTCCCTTGGTTATTAGGAAACGGTGTTAAAGGGAAGCTGACAACCTCGAGCTACTGCTGACAGAATATCAGAATTTCTTTGGTTTAAATCTCACATGATGAGGATGTTTTCATGATTGTAGGGAAATCTGTTGGTGAATAAAATGCTGGATATGCTGGACAGAGCCTCCTTTTTTGTTAACCCTCTGAACCCCAAGTAGTTTTGGGGTGTTTTTGGCGCCATAATCCTAAAAAATAAAGTAATAAAAGTTCAATTTCTGCCATGGAATCAATATAAACAACATATTTTTGTGCTTGCATTTAGGCAAAAGTCCCCAAATTTGTCGTCTTAACGGCTTCACGCTTGCACCAAGAATCTGTTTCGAGTCAAAGCTTTATTTTTTTCCAATGAAATCCGTACAATAACCTGATTTTTTTTGTTGAATGTCGCAATTCAGACGCCACACACAAGCAGCTCAAGGATGACCGTCTTTCTGTTTTTACGCTTTCTGACTCCGATGAATGACTTAATTGTGGAGAATAATTTTGCTTTTATGAAGACGGCGTGCCTTTATGAATCCACCGACGGGCTTCGGGGGTTCAAAGGGTTCCAAAGAGATTCTCAAAAAGCAACTTAAACAAAGACGTCTCCTGCTTTCACGCTGTTGTACTGTATCTGCGGTACGGTGCCTTTATGTTCCGCTTGGCCTTAAAACTTTGCACATATTTTTTATTGTCGGCTTTCTGTTATGGATTTGTAGCTTCCTCTCCAGAACACAGAGGGCATCGTACAGAAAACTTGCAGAGGAAATCAGATCGATTCATCAGGTAGTCGTGCAAAAAGAATGGGAGGAATGCTTTAAATCAAACTTCTGCTTCTGTCCTTAGATTCTCCTTTACGGATTTATTTCACGAGGAACAGCTTTACATGTTAACAGCTCAGATCTCCACAGCCCGAAGTCCAACCACACCTCAACCCTCTTGTCTTTTTCTTGTAACGTCTGGAAACTTGCAGGTTTGACGCTGCAAAAAAACAAAAAAAAAAGTCCAAAAATTGGCCCCGCAAATACCCCCGTTTCCACCATTAGCAAGCCGAGGCGGTGCACAAACAAACCGACAACGGCATCCATTTAGATTCCGAGCAGACACATGCTCCTCTTCACACAGTGTCAACAGATTAGCATGCATTAGGGAACGGGTTTCCTCTGCATACACAAGTTTTGCTGTTGCCGTTGTTGTTGTTGTTTCCAAAATTGAACATCGTTCGCCTACAAGGAGGCGCCCAAGGTTAGGAGCACGAGCGCAGGGGGCTGGTTCAGGAGCGCAAAGGAGAAATCCTCCAGCTTTGATTAATTAGCGATAATTTGCCACCTTGAAAGGAGCCTTTATTTTCTTCAGGGACTCTGTTGATAAATCCGAAGACACGGAGTCTAATAGCGGCGCGTTGTAAGCTGTCAGTGCGCTGATGATCACTTAAGTGTTGCCGAGCCTGTTACTCGACTACTATAGCATGAAGCTGACACGTTTCACAGCTTGTTTACAGTGTTTTGATCATCGGCAGATTCAAGTCAGTGGTTCTGAAGCAGCACCTCGTGCAGCGCTGGCTGCCGAGCTGGAAACTCACGTCGAAGGCACAGACTTAAGGTTGTTGTATCCGAACAGAGATGTCAGCTTTGACAGATTCGGCTCCACTGACTCAGATAAATTCATCATCACTAGCCGGCCTGCTCTTTCAACTGCTATTGGCGTGACTTCTGTTTTTTCTTTTAAGTTCTTTTTATGCTTTAGTGTGATTGAAAATTTCAATTAGCGATGGCTTTGGGCTCCGTGGCCCAAAAATCGAAGGATGTCATTTTAATTTTCTCATTTGTCCTCATTTACAGTGAGTCACCTGAGACTGTTGAAGTGATTGAAATGTGATTTCACGTCTTGCAACGGTTGAACAGCTGCAATATTGTCTCTGCCTATGTAATTCCCTCACACCTAATGTAATAGCAGAGTGGCCCTCTGCCCAAAAACTATGAATTGCATTCAATTTAGCACACCACTTACCTCACTTCTGAGGAAGATCCAATAAGCCTGCTCAATGAGGCACGACCTATTATTGCGGCGACACGACGCTCGCCGTGTGCTGCCGAAGGCGGGACGGCCTCGCAAAGCGCTTCGCTAAGCGTCCTGAGAGGAGCTCGCTCTCCGAGGGAGCCACGCCCGCAGGGAGACACTTTAAAGTGAAGTTCACTTTGCCTCAAGGAGACTTTTCTGTCAATCCCCAAAGGCTCTCGGGCTGAGTCGTGCCTCGCATTTTTTTTTTTTTTTGCCTGGAGGAGACAAAAATCTGATTTAGAGAAACACCATTTGGTCCTCATGAAAAATAAAAAGAAGTACTTCAAGCAAACTTCTTTTTTTGTTTGTTTTTAATGAGTTTTGGTTTGGTAGACGAGGAGACATCTGCTACAGGAGAACTCAAAGCACTCGAAAAATTCTCTTAAAGCTTGTATTTCTTGTATTTTTTTTTTAAAGGGCCAAATTGTGCCAAAAAAGTTTTTCATAGTTTTTGTTTATTTGAGTGCCCAGTGTGTCTAGAAATACACAAACTATGAGACAACACCATCCCTTCATGTTTATTTTTCTCCATAAATCAGAAAATGCATCTCTGAAGGAGCTGTTGGAGCCCGTTGTGATGTCACAACAGGACAAGCCCCGCCCCCTGTTAGGCTCCACCTCTCTACCATTCACTGAACAGAAGCAGAGAGCTGAGCTTGTGATCCTGGGGCAAAAAAAAGCATTATAACATTATGACTCAGCTCACTAAGAGAAAAAGCAACCACATGATCTCAAGCGTGCTAAAATTGGAAGTATTTCATGAATAATTGGTCGGACGGTGGTGGACGCTGCTCAAGAAATAACCGGTCGACGTCTAACTAGAAGCTGTAAACTCAGTTTTCCATCTCAAGTTAAGAAAACTCAAATTTAAAATCTTACCTTACGTACAGAAGAGCAAACAGAAGACGGGAGTTGGACATCTAAACCTGGTATAGGTTCGATTCAGTCGAGTTTTCTCTCTATAACGCCAAATCCCAACATGCATCTACTTATTGTAAGACGACAAAATTATCAAGAAAACCCGACGTTCCCTTGGATTCCCATTGAGCAAGCACTTTCATTTTAACTCCAAATTAACAAAACAGTGCTTCTAAAGCTAAACCGGCGTTGTGACAACTGGCTGATTGGAGAGCAGCTCTGGTCCAATCAGTGAGAGTTCAAGGCACAACGGAGGAGGAGCAGGTCCGAGTCTGGGTTGCCCACAAAACTCGAGGAATCACACTCAAGGTAAATGAGCGCGGTAGTGCAGAACCGTGACAATATGTGCCGTACATTTGAGCTGAATGTTCTGGGCAGGTGTGAGGCTTGTATTATGTAGTTTAAAAGTGGTATAATATGGGATCTTTCATTTAAATAATTGCACTTAAAGCTGCTCTAGTCGGGTTTTTTTTCTTCATTCTTTTATACGTTAACAATGGTTTAAATCACTGTGTGTGATGTGAAAGTGGTCACTCAGAGCTCTTTACAGACGCTGGATATGTAAAAGTGCTGCTTCATCAGTCTGCTAAAGTGGCAGCATTCTGTCGTTTGGACGTTCTTCGTGGGCCAATGAGTCCGACTCTCCAGCTGTGGGGATGCTTAGATGGAGCCGTGACTGAGCTGCACCTCAGTAGTAAAAATCACAATGCGGCTTCAGTGTTTCCTCAAAATAGTGATGAGTGGAATTGTTTTGGTGGAACGTTTGCATAATGAAAGAATTGGATAATCCACCATGTAAACAACAGCAGCATCCAAAGCCTCTGGTAGGTTGCTGTT